CCACACACCCCTCTGCCCCAAACACTCTGACCATACACCCCTCTGCCCCAACACTCTGACCATACACCCCTCTGCCCCAAACACTCTGACCATACACCCCTCTGCCCCAAACACTCTGACCACACACCCCTCTGCCCCAAACACTCTGACCATACACCCCTCTGCCCAACACTCTGACCATACACCCCTCTGCCCCCAACACTCTGACCATACACCCCTCTGCCCCAACACTCTGACCATACACCCCTCTGCCCAAACACTCTGACCATACACCCCTCTGCCCCAACACTCTGACCATACACCCCTCTGCCCCAACACTCTGACCATACACCCCTCTGCCCCAACACTCTGACCATACACCCCTCTGCCCCAACACTCTGACCATACACCCCTCTGCCCCAACACTCTGACCATACACCCCTCTGCCCCAACACTCTGACCACACACCCCTCTGCCCCCCCAACACTCTGACCATGATACACCCCTCTGCCCCAACACTCTGACCATACACCCCTCTGCCCCAACACTCTGACCACACACCCCTCTGCCCCCCAACACTCTGACCATACACCCCTCTGCCCCAAACACTTAAATGGGACCTTTAAAGCCGGACCTCACATGGGACCTTTAAAGATGGTCCTCACATGGGACCTTTAAAGCCAGACCTCACATGGGACCTTTAAAGATGGTCCTCACATGGGACCTTTAAAGCCAGACCTCACATGGGACCTTTAAAGCCGGACCTCACATGGGGCCTTTAAAGCCAGACCTCACATGGGACCTTTAAAGCCGGACCTCACATGGGACCTTTAAAGCCGGACCTCACATGGGACCTTTAAAGATGGTCCTCACATGGGACCTTTAAAGATGGTCCTCACATGGGACCTTTAAAGCCGGACCTCACATGGGACCTTTAAAGATGGTCCTCACATGGGACCTTTAAAGCCAGACCTCACATGGGACCTTTAAAGATGGTCCTCACATGGGACCTTTAAAGCCAGACCTCACATGGGACCTTTAAAGCCGGACCTCACATGGGACCTTTAAAGATGGTCCTCACATGGGACCTTTAAAGCCGGACCTCACATGGGACCTTTAAAGATGGTCCTCACATGGGACCTTTAAAGCCGGACCTCACCTGGGACCTTTAAAGATGGTCCTCACATGGGACCTTTAAAGATGGTCCTCACATGGGACCTTTAAAGCCAGACCTCACATGGGGCCTTTAAAGCCAGACCTCACATGGGACCTTTAAAGCCGGACCTCACATGGGACCTTTAAAGCCGGACCTCACATGGGACCTTTAAAGATGGTCCTCACATGGGACCTTTAAAGATGGTCCTCACATGGGACCTTTAAAGCCGGACCTCACATGGGACCTTTAAAGATGGTCCTCACATGGGACCTTTAAAGCCAGACCTCACATGGGACCTTTAAAGATGGTCCTCACATGGGACCTTTAAAGCCAGACCTCACATGGGACCTTTAAAGATGGTCCTCACATGGGACCTTTAAAGCCAGACCTCACATGGGACCTTTAAAGCCGGACCTCACATGGGACCTTTAAAGATGGTCCTCACATGGGACCTTTAAAGCCGGACCTCACATGGGACCTTTAAAGATGGTCCTCACATGGGACCTTTAAAGCCGGACCTCACCTGGGACCTTTAAAGATGGTCCTCACATGGGAGCTTTAAAGCCAGACCTCACATGGGACCTTAAAGATGGTCCTCACATGGGACCTTTAAATCCCGACCTCACATGGGGCCTTTAAAGCCAGACCTCACATGGGACCTTTAAAGCCGGACCTCACATGGGACCTTTAAAGCCGGACCTCACATGGGACATTTAAAGATGGTCCTCACATGGGACCTTTAAAGCCGGACCTCACATGGGACCTTTAAAGATGGTCCTCACATGGGACCTTTAAAGATGGTCCTCACATGGGACCTTTAAAGATGGTCCTCACATGGGACCTTTAAAGCCGGACCTCACATGGGACCTTTAAAGATGGTCCTCACATGGGACCTTTAAAGCCAGACCTCACATGGAACCTTTAAAGATGGTCCTCACATGGGACCTTTAAAGCCAGACCTCACATGGGACCTTTAAAGCCGGACCTCACATGGGACCTTTAAAGATGGTCCTCACATGGGACCTTTAAAGCCGGACCTCACATGGGACCTTTAAAGATGGTCCTCACATGGGACCTTTAAAGCTGGACCTCACCTGGGACCTTTAAAGATGGTCCTCACATGGGAGCTTTAAAGCCAGACCTCACATGGGACCTTAAAGATGGTCCTCACATGGGACCTTTAAAGCCCGACCTCACATGGGGCCTTTAAAGCCAGACCTCACATGGGACCTTTAAAGCCGGACCTCACATGGGACCTTTAAAGCCGGACCTCACATGGGACATTTAAAGATGGTCCTCACATGGGACCTTTAAAGCCGGACCTCACATGGGACCTTTAAAGATGGTCCTCACATGGGACCTTTAAAGCCAGACCTCACATGGGACCTTTAAAGATGGTCCTCACATGGGACCTTTAAAGCCAGACCTCACATGGGACCTTTAAAGCCGGACCTCACATGGGACCTTTAAAGATGGTCCTCACATGGGACCTTTAATAGCCGGACCTCACATGGGACCTTTAAAGATGGTCCTTACATGGGACCTTTAAAGCCGGACCTCACATGGGACCTTTAAAGATGGTCCTCACATGGGAGCTTTAAAGCCAGACCTCACATGGGACCTTAAAGATGGTCCTCACATGGGACCTTTAAAGATGGTCCTCACATGGGACCTTTAAAGCCAGACCTCACATGGGACCTTTAAAGCCGGACCCCACATGGGACCTTTAAAGATGGTCCTCACATGGGACCTTTAAAGCCGGACCTCACATGGGACCTTTAAAGATGGTCCTCACATGGGACCTTTAAAGCCGGACCTCACATGGGACCTTTAAAGATGGTCCTCACATGGGAGCTTTAAAGCCAGACCTCACATGGGACCTTAAAGATGGTCCTCACATGGGACCTTTAAAGCCAGACCTCACATGGGACCTTTAAAGCCGGACCTCACATGGGACCTTTAAAGCTGGTCCTCACATGGGACCTTTAAAGCCGGACCTCACATGGGACCTTTAAAGCCAGACCTCACATGGGACCTTTAAAGCCGGACCTCACATGGGACCTTTAAAGATGGTCCTCACATGGGAGCTTTAAAGCCAGACCTCACATGGGACCTTAAAGATGGTCCTCACATGGGACCTTTAAAGCCAGACCTCACATGGGACCTTTAAAGCCGGACCTCACATGGGACCTTTAAAGCCGGACCTCACATGGGACCTTTAAAGATGATCCTTGTTCCTCCACCTCTGCAGGAACAGGACGAGTCTGATGGACTGGAGGAGGAAGAGGAGGAGGACAGAAGGAAGGAGGAAGTGGCGATGGAGGCGGTTGTCACGGCGACGCTGCCCTTCGGAGTCTGTAGCTGACTTTATTGGCAGTGACACGAATGTACAGAACTGCCACAGTGCATTCTGGGAGCTGCTGTCAGGTGTCGTTCCGGCTAACGCTCCAGCTAGCCCCTGACCTCACAGGCACCCGCGCAGACACACACTTATACACACAGATACACACATATACACACAGACACACACTTATACACACAGATACACACATATACACACAGATACACACAGGTACACACTTATACACACAGATAAACACATAGAAACACACACACACTTATACACACAGATACCCACACACAGGCACACACTTATACACACATATACACACAGACACACACTTATACACACATATACACACAGATACACACAGATACACACATATACACACAGACACACACAGACACACACTTATACACACAGATACACACATATACATACAGACACACACTTATACACACAGACACACTCTTATACACACAGACACACACATACACACATACAGGCACCCGGACAGACACACACTTATACACACAGTTACACACTTATACACGCAGACACACACTTATACACACATATACACACAGACACACACTTATACACACAGACACACTCTTATACACACAGATACACACTTACACACACAGACACACACATACACACACACACATACACGTTTTTGTTACCTGGTGGGTCCCTTTGACAGGGCCGTTCAGAATGGGACCCATAGACATAATCTTTTTTTACCAAGACTTTAAGTAATACAAAACAGTCAATAGAAACCAAACAACTATTTTAAAGGAATTTTATTTTAGATTTTGTTTTCGAATTGCAGTGATTCTATTTTTGACATAGAATTTAATGCCACTCCATGTCCGATGTCTAAGGTCATCTGGTGAGGCATTAATGCAGGCCAGGCAGTGAGACTTCCCAGGGACCTTTCCAGTCTGTATGAAAGGTGTCATGGTCTTCTCCACAGCCTTCACCTCAGATGCAGACCATGGCTTTCTTACACGTTCTAGGGAGAGAAATAAAAATATATTAGCAATATACACTCCCAGGGTGAGGACCAAGCAGCCTGGCTGTAATCCCCCACCTGGTACACTTACCAGAAGGGGCACTGCCACTACCATGGGGTGCATCTGGATGAATGGTTGAAGGTTCTCCGCTTGAAGTTTCTTTTAGCCCGTCCGTTTGTGAGAGGATCTCTACTGCTCTCCCTGTCGCACAGAAAATAAAAATACAAGTGGCCTTTAGGGGAAAAAAATCATACATATTTTAATAATATCAAGAATTACCTTCAGGCTCAATTTGTATCTGGTCGAGGCTCTTTCCTTCGAATTCCGTCACTCTTCCCTGCTCCATGGCCATCAACACTTTGCTGATTTTGGCCAGCTCCAGTGTCCCCTCTGGTAGTCTGTAATATTGCCTGTGGATGCGAATGTCATGGCCGAGGAAGTTGGCAAGTATGTCCATCTCATTCTCTTTCATATTGAGAACTGTAGACATAGTAGCTATGTGCTTTCTAAGTTTGGTTGAGGATAGCATCTCTGGATGCACCGCACCACATTCTTTGGCTACCTGGCGTAGGGAGTCTGATCCCCTGATGTGGGTGTCTGCGCCCGGGCGGGAAAAGAAGTATGGGTTATGGTCAGAGATGGAACAGGCCCTTCTGTTCTCCACCAGCACCTCCATCGAAGCAATCATTTCAGGAGTCAAAAGAACCGGCACTTTCCGACTTCTTTTCCCTTTAATTTCAATGCGTTGAAAATGCTGACACAGCTTTTTCTCAAGTTGGGACAGTCCCAGAGCAATGTCAGAATGGATCCCAGTCTTACTTCTTAAGGTAAAGGCTGTCAGTGGCATCTTTGAAACCTCACCTTCCCTTCTTCGATTGAAAATGATGACCTCACAAAGAGTCAAAACTGCCAGTTTAGACCAATGCTTAGACGTTGGCTCACTTATTAGGGTTTGCACATATTCAGGTCGACATACCTCAATATGTGCATGCATGGCTCTAACGTCCTCAGTCAGAGGGAGCAGGTCCGGAGTGTTCCACTTGGCTTGCCGGAGGGTCTGTAGGGCAGCAGA